AGTTTAATTCGAAGTATTTTCTCGGTTTTCCTGGAACAGTCTGCTTCAAAATCTGGCTATAAAAAGCATTACTGTAATTTAGTAATTTTGTTTAACCGAGATATTCCAAATTGTGATATAATCAGCACATGGCATTAATTCCATCGTCTTCGATTCTGTCCTCAACAGATTCATCGATAAATTAATGAGCATTAGCTTGACTAGAAGCTTATTTGAATTATTCTGATGAAATGCAGCCTAATTTAAGATTATTCGAAATGCTTTGTGAGCTCTATGATCGTCAGTCAAAGTTGTTGCAACCAGCAGAAATGATCATCGCGAAACAACGAAATGTTATTGATCGTTTTGTTCATCTATTTTCTGTTGGTTTCGCATTGCCAGTTATCGAAAGAATCAACAAAATGTTTCAGGAAGGACAAATTGATGTTTCTCTCGCAAGGTGAACTGCTGTTGCAAATAAAAGTCGTCACCATTTTTGTCAGATATCTTTAAGCAGGGAATTCTACTAGCACTAGCAAAATCTGAAAATGAGTTTTCGAAAAGCGGTCTCATCCTAAACTATATCAACTGTCAACGTATTCAATCAAATCATAATCTCGCTGATATTCCACTCGATTTATTGGATATTTAATTAGAACAATACATTTATTGGATTATGTCAATGTCATACACGAAATGTCATGTAATTTACAGGTACTTTGCAATAGATGTTCTGGATATCATTGATCCACCTTATTCGGAACAATTTGTCGAAACGTTTCAACCAATAGTGTTAAATCGAGAAATTTTTGATAAGTTAACAATGTCAAAGGTACCAGCAGCAGTGCAATTCATTCAAGACATCGCAGCTGAAACTGTGGGAGATAATAATGAAGGCATTGTGGAACATGAAACTATATGTAGCACAAGTGAAGTTTTGTCCGAAATGGTTATATTCGAGACGTGTAATGTTAGTGGTTGATTTTATATAATGCATGTTATATGCTTACGTTATTTAAATAAATGTTGTTATCACTACTTCGAAAGAAGCTGTTATATTAAGGGAAATATTTCTAGAATCTAAGACAAGTTAATCAAGTAAGTTGGGTGGGCTTTCGGACAACTCCAAACGCTTAAATAGCCGTCTTAATTTCTTCTATCTCAAGTCAAGAATGAGCTTATTTCCCATGGTTATGTTAGCGTTACCATGTAAGTCTATGTTATTGCGCAGTTAGCATATCTATATTCCATAAGTAAGATTTCCGGTATGGAGATAAGAGAACAATTTACGCAAATAGACAAATCTTCACTTCACTGGTAAGGACGTGAACTTTGCAACTATCATCTTCATTTCTCTCTCCATTTTTAATTGTTTAGCCAATTTAAACTGTTGCTTAATCCAACATTCTGGATATCAGGAAATGTAATAATGTAAGAGTCGCTGGTTACGTAGTTATTATGGTTACAGCTAGAAAACAGACTTGATTAAATTATCCTAATAAATGTTGTAGTACCAACTGTGCTAAAAAAAATTTTGAATTTGATAAACTAATTCTATAAAAGGTATAGAATATGGCTTTTATAATTTTCCATTCTTTTCAAGCTGATTATGATTTACACTTTTAGTTCTGTGCTATGACGCAAGAAAGAAATCAAATATTTAGAACAAGTAGTACAGCTTATATACAACAATAGGCAAATTCCCAGAATCACTAGAAGAATTTCCATGAACTACTATTTTTTGATTTCTTGAAGTATTCTTTTCTTTATAAATCAACAAAAGTTTCCCTACATATGACTAGGATATTTGTAAAAAACTAATTCGGAATGACTTCTTTCTGAAAGGAAAAGTCTGACAGACCACGCCATCGATATTCGTCAACCGCTATAAAAAAATAGTAGCTCCGAGGCGTCTACAACTCATCAATATGAATCCTACGGGAAATTTTCCTTTATAATATGAAGGAAATTACTTTCCGCTCAGGTAGAATAACTTCTTCATTAAGGGCTTGCAATCTCGAATTTGCATTTCGAGTGTTAAAACTGTTTTCATTTCCCAAATTTTGGAGTCGTAAAAGTTCTAAATTTTATAAGCTACAACTATCGATTCCTAGTATTGTTGTGAAGGATGATACTGCTGTTGCTGTTGCTGGTGAGGCTGTTGCCCATATGACAACTGCTGTTGATTGAATCTGAAACCATTACGGGTCACTTTCATCAAATCACCAAAGCGGAAATTCCTGGGGTCTTTCATAAATGAGTATGAAGTTCTTTCCCTAACATATAATTTTACGTTCCTCATGGGATACAAGTATTTGCCGGCCCCTACACAGTAGATTCGTTTTTTTTTCCCAAAATTTTATGCTAAATATAACATCCTAGTCAAAGAGATTGACTTATATTTACCTCATGGTTGGATCTAGACAAATGCAAAACTAGCATCTTTACGTGAACAGAACAAAGATAAAAGAAACTTGAAAACAAGAAGTAGGACGACACCAACCGAGAATCATAAGTTGCCTGCTGCACCGACTGCTGCCCATAAGCTACACCGCCCCGTTGTTGCTGATGATGTATAACATATTGGGTACCCCCTTGCGTATCTGCAAAGAACAAGATGAAATTTCATGTAAAAAATTAAAATTTCATTTCATATAAAAAGGTGGGATAACACAGGAAGAGATTTTTGGAGAAGATATCGAGACACGCAGGAAAAGGAAACAGAATGAGACAAGGGAATTTTCCGATTATGTTCAGAATGGAAGCATTCTATCCACCTTGCTGCATTTGGATTAACTGCTGCTGTTGGGCGTATTGCTGTTGTTGTTGTTGTTGTTGCTGCTGCTGCGCATGATCAGCCATTTGCATAGAGTTAGCACCCGTCTCCACTTTCATTACCATACCACCACCATATTGTCCCGGTCCGCCGGAGATTTGGTAGGCTAAAGCATAGATCATTAAAGAATTATAAAAATCATAGAGACACAAAATGACATAACGTTACTGAATGCTTGTTAGAATTATGACCAAATCTTCAACTGACAACAATTAACAGTAGAGGAGTTCACCCTTCTTCAGCCTTTTCCAATAAACTTGATGGCTTTGTAACGTACCGTTAGTTTTAGTAAACGTTAACAAACCGTTAACATCTTGCATAGCTGACTGAGGTCCACCTGTGCCACCTTGTTGTGCTGCAGTAGCACCACTAGCAGCTTGTGCTTGTCGCTTTTGCAGGATCATCGAGTGAATCTTCATTTTCGAATCCTCTGTCGTTTGACTACCCATTGGAGCGCCTGAAAATTTCTCAATGCTAAACGGTCCTATAAAAGGTATTTCATATGCGTTTTTCAAAGTGAAAAAATATGTCGCCACTTCTCAGAAAGTTTACGAAATCGCAATTGTTTAATCAATAAATGCAGTAAAGATTGTACAGCGGTATGCAACAGTAAATGCAGTAATGACTGCACACTATCGCATAGATTTTTTTTGTTATCAGCCACCAGCCACCAGCTTCAAGAAGTCTTAGTAATGCCATCAACCCTTAGATGGTTTGATGATATTACTACGACTTCCTGGAAGGTAAAATGAATGAGAGGTAAAATAAAAATATAGAATCTCTGGCAAGAAATATCCGACTGCATATATGAACTTTACCTTTGAACATCAAATCAGAGAATGATACTAGCTTTAATTCCACATTAAAATATGAATTTTAATCTCAAACATCATGGTATGTATGTCCTACGTGAATATTGACTTCTCACCTGGTTGCCCCGCACCAGTTGAAGGCACTGAAGGCCCAGATGCGAATTGCTGCGGTACACCTGTTTGCTGTGGACCAGTGGCCCAGGTGCCTGGGTATGTCGGCTGCGGCGGTGGGCCGCCACTACTACAACTAACGGTACCGGTCATTTGTTGCTGCTGCTGTGCAGCGGCAGCCGCAGCTGCAGCTGCTGCAGCCAACTGGTCAACAGTTTGCTGTCGCTGCTGCCGTTGTTTACGAGTGGTACCTTGAGAACGAGTAGAAAGACCTGTTGCTTTGCGACGTCCACCTGTAAAGGAAAAAAGTGAAACGAAATAACGACAAGACAAGCACACTTTAATTTTTAAGCGAAACAAATTTTAAGTTTATAGACAATGATAAAATTAGGGATGACCCTATAACCGGTAACAGAAGATTCACCTCTTGCACCTCTCGGCGACGCACTGTTTTGACCTCGCCCTGTTAGATCAGGTAACGTCGGCATGGGACCACCTTGTCCTGGAAATATCATCGTCGTTGCAGCATTTGGTGCGCCAGGAGCACCAGATGGCGCAGATCCATCGGGGACAGATGTGCAACTAGGAGTGGCATTTGACTGATACCCCCCCATTGCACGACCTTGTGTCACTGGACCTAATGTTCCGCTCACATCCATGGCTGTACCACCTGAGGATACCGGTACATTCTGGAATGAAAAAGAGCTTAAACTGAGTGAACAGTCTTACTATTGTCACTGTTCTACCGACATTAAGTTAGCCATTGAATGATTCCAATGATAGATAGAAAATATGTTGAACATCGTAAACGAACGCTTCTATGAAGGAGAAATTAATGCAAAACATTTAAATCAACCAAGATTTTCAACTGCTACCAGTGAGCAATTCTGATCGACATACCGTGGAACTGGCAGATGTAGTTGTTGATGTAGCCGCACTGGAAGACACATGATGCAAAGTTGCCGGTGTCTCCGACACATCCATCATCGGTGGTGAAAGATAGATATCTAAATTGGGCGGTCTGCAACAGAATACATTTACTCCAATCATGATAATATTTAGCACTGAGATTTCACTTCGGATTGTTCATATCAGTTGAGTTCCCGAAGTTAATCATATTCAAATACGCAGACCCATTATTGGCATAATGACGATTTCGCCATGGAAGGAAATAGAAGCTAATGACCGCTAAGAAAAAAAGATTTAGCATAGGAAATGAGGAAGAGCATGAACTAAACGTATATCTATGACCCTTCCATCAGAAAAATTTAATTCACCGATCCATTCCACAAATCGTTGGACGAACAAATTCATTGTAATGCGAATGGTGTACTAAACGTTGAATGTATCGTTGTACGGGGACTGGTAAACGATCTAGTTTTACAGCCTGCAACGGTTAGGATTATCAAAAACCTCAAAAAGAAAGAAGAATATAACAACACTTACAATTTCTCATATTTTACATTAATTTGGAAATCAAATCAATAATTATGGTACAATACCTAAGTAACAGATAACCCCATGCATCAAAATCTCTATCATCTCAATGTATGACAAGCAATCTTAGTTGGATGAATATAAACATATGAAATCACAAACCTGTAACATTGACCAATTCCAGGGACGCTTCAATAAAGTTGAATCAACATTCAGGTATTGTATCATATCGTATGCCGACAACTTCACTTTTTCAGCAAACTGTAAAAATAAACTACCTTTCACAAACACAAAAAGCAAAGGCTATCTTTCAACAAACAGCAAAAGTGAAGTAGGATGTTGCACAGCTTAATCCAACAGAATATGGGAAAAGATGAATGATTGTATTTTGTGACTGCGCATATGAATATAATACTTTGAATATATGAAATATAAACATCTCTAAGACGTGATATCTGCACATTGCAATAAATATTCTATTACTTTTCTGTCTTCTTCTTTTTTTTTTTTGTAAAGTCATAACAGAAAAAAAATTTTCCCTCCATTCACCGTGAAAACCTTATTCTTGGCTGGCTGTACAGAACCGTAACTTCAAAGATTTGTTGTTGCCAGAGAATTTACAAACATAGGAATAACATAGGAATGTACAAACCTGCAATCCGTGACGATTAGCTTTTATCGTTTGGATTATTTGTCCTTGCGATTGACTCTTGCCGAGTTTCTGTGGTGAAGTTGGTATAGTGCCATATGGTTCGCACGTTATCAGCTCGAATTGGGGCTTTGGGATAGGTAAAAACTGCATCAATGAACGAAGTTCGGGAATTAATGCACGTTCATTTAATTCCTTCTATAAAATTGTTATTCTTTATATATGTTCTTTCCAGCTATAAGCTGCATTTTCAATCTGCATAGCCATTTCTATATCTCAGATTTTTAGAGGAATTATCATTGGACGAAAAGTGACTGAAAACGGATTTTATACTCACCAACAAGTAACTTTTATAACTTACTCGCAATTTTTTAACAATCAAGGAGTAGGTGGGAAATCGAAATTTGGTATCTGGATCTTGTGCATTCATCGCCGCTGCATTCATCGGATCAGTAATCGACCACACCAGCAGAGTAGATAACATATCGTAACATGAATCGAACAAATATCTAAATTCAAGCGACAAATTTCTTTCGGTTTTTATTCTCTTAATAGTGCCCACGTCCTCGTATCGAAATGTGAAAAAAATGCAAGTATTTTTATGAAGAAAAAGTTTTACACCACTCGACACAACTTACAGTTAAAAAAATCGGAAAAATTCGAAAAGGAAACCGAAAAAAAGGAAAATGAAACGAAATTTAGCATCTCAAGTTACATCATTTTTCATCAGAAATATTTAACATCAGCACTAAAGAGGCAGAATTTGAAAAATAAAATTGACTTGGCTGGATGTATAAGCAAAACTTTTAATTTGAAAGACGCATTCTACTTAGCGTCTTATCTTTAGGTTTGCGTACACAAAAAGGGGGGAAAAAAAGAAACTTTATAGTGCACTGATACTTGCACTACTGCGTGATGAAATATGAAAAAGCGGCCCAGTACGAGAACTCAAACGATCAACAAAGAGACAAAAGAATAGTGTAAATGGATGGTTAATGCAAGAATAAAGTTAAATAGTTGTTTACCCGTCTCGTTCCTTTGAGATAACTCCATACAACATTAGTTGAAACAGCGTTAATGCCCACGTGTCGCAAATCGAAGTATGACATACTGAGTCAAACATACCTCCAACCAAGGATATGCGCAACAGGACTCCTTCACGTTCTAACGAAAATATGCGCAAATATGGTAAAAGAGGATTCTGTAAGTATTATAATTAATAAACTGATTCATTTTCCATTATATACATTACCGTTCATTTCTTCTGCAGTAGTGTATTTTTAACAATGTTGTTTAATAAAATACAGTGATTTAATATTACACTGCACTTTGAAAATTCTCGAACACTTCAAACTGATATGCAAGTAAACAAAAATGATACCATTTACAAACTGTCACATAAAACAAACACCGATTTCGAAAATTCAAATTAAAGGAATAAATGGAATGGATGAATGCCACCACCTACATCTTTAGCTTTCAGTGCCAACTCCTGCAGTTGTTTCAGCATTGAACCGACCAAACCATCACGCTGTTGTTCTTCACCATTCAAACATGTAAGTACTAGATTCAAGAATGGCTCTTGACTCAGCAACCATGCACTAAAAGGACCGAGTTTTCAATGACATCCTTACGCACTTCAAAAGACCAAATTTGTATTCCACATCAACAGAGCATCGAATTCTCACGAGTCACAGATAAAAAGTCATATTAAAAGAATATACCTTTGTTGAATTCGTTCCTTGTTATTATCAGATGAAGTATCAAGCATTGCCGCTGCTTCCTTGAGGAATTTTCCTTGTACAGTGATCGCGGGGAATGAAGCTGGCAAATTTCCCGGTCGTGGACAGGCATGCACTAAAGGACTAATCAGCCAGTAAGCTGTGATATCTTTCAATCTAAAAACTTTTTCGTTACCAATATTAATGCTGTTTAGTTATCTGTTGTAACATATTTCCCATTACAGAACTATGGAAAGTGAATTATTATAAGCCAGTATTCTTAGTTACGAATTAAATCATAAATAATAGTTCAAAAGTTGTGCCGTAATATTTCTGAAATAATAGCTAGACGCACGATCAACTAATACTACATACTCCATAAATTACTCACTAAGGATCCGAAAAGTGGGAAAAAATCTTTATAAAAAAAATTGAAAATATATTAAAATCTAATAACAAATGTACTTCAGGATCGAGTTTCTTGATTTTTTCCAATTTTTCAAAGAAGTTAAGTGAAGATATTACTAACCTGAAAGCTTTGCCGACAGCAGCTGGTGGCAATTTTTTATCCGATTTATGTGACTGTGTAAATAAATCACGACAGCATTTGCCAATCTCACCAAGCAATGCATCTGCAGCAATCGCACCTTGTTGAGCATGTTTACTCGTACAACCTTCCGGTGAGATCTGCAACAAGTAACTTGTTATTAATCCCTGCTCCAAAAGTATCACTTCTCATTAATTCAATATTCCCTTTACAAATGAAATACAGTGACAGAATTCTGGGTAACGGAAGATTAGAGTATAGATACCTTGATAATATCTTCTCTTCTTCCATCCTTTTTTCCTTAAGAGTAATGAAAAAAATAATTCTTGAAATTAATTTTTAATGCTTTTCTTGGATGATAGTAAATATAACACGTAAAAAAACTCATCCTACGAATAAATAAAGTTAAACAAAATATACACAACTAGAGGAGTATATGAATACAAGAAATCAAGGAATCATCAATAAGAAAACAGTACGAATGTCTGAAAGAAATCCCAAAAATTTGTACCTCTCGAATCATTAACTTAAAATCGAAATAAGTTGCTCGTGTATTCCATATATTCAAAACATTCAGCAGTTTATCGATCAGTGATTTTTTACTATTTCCATTACAGATAGTTAATTCACGTACTATTTCACGTTCACTACGTCTTCGTAAAGCCATACGTAATAACTGTTGACCCTGAAGCTATGGATAAAAAACATAGAAAGAAACGTGAAATATCAGCTATCAAAGCATTTTATTTCAATTTAGTCGTTGCTTAGGCCCTCAAGCTTTCATCTTACGTTAAAATATTGGAATGGAATTTGTGCACAAACCAAGCAGTTTTTACGAAGTTGATGAGAGGAGAAGCAATCCGTTGCACCATCTTCACACCGTCTATATATGCGCTGCGTGACCCATTCCTGCTCGCACATTGCCATTAGTACTCCCTTCGACAGTTCTGCTATATACTCACGACGAAATGCACGCTGATCAATCGATTTTGCACTGCAGACAAACAGCACTTAATAAAATTTAAGTTAAATTGATTACTTATATCCAACCAATAGCTAATGAGTGCGACGCAAACAGACAACACAACGTTTACAATAATATCATGAATATTCTGTTAGTTTCTCATAGCCAACCGACTAATAAATCATGTTCTGCCTTCAAAAAACAGGTTATATGGCTATCTCGCTTAGCTCAAGAAATCGTCCTTTTATTCAACCCTATTTGATCGTGTAACCTACTTACTTCAATTAGTGAAAGCAATGTTACCTGTCCAGTTTGTTTAAGTTTTTAGAATGTCATGTTCTGACATTATTCAACTGCTGTTATGTAACGACTTCGAGGAAATGAGAATATTAAATAAAAAAGCTCACTCATCCGAGTAGCGATCTCTCAGTTTATGCTTAGTGTAATCAGCAATCATACAAATTGTAACCAGTAGTGCGCAAACTTCATCGCCCACGTCATGCAAATGACTTTCCGTTAAGATCCACCGATCTGCTTTACAGATATTCGAACTAATTCGCTCACCAGTATATTGTGGTGAAACTGTAATCCGTATGTAAAAGTAGTATTTAACATGCCATCTTCTTCATTGTATTGAAAATTTTACTATTTCTTTAATTTCATTTCTATTGTATAACTTACGAATGATGGGCTGATCACTTTGGCATATAATATTAGCTAGTACCAGAAGTGCCAGACAAACACCCGCCTCTGCATCCGCATCCGGCACTTTACCTATAAAACATGCAAGTAATCAATACATCCCTTTTTTTCAAAACTACTTAGGCCCAAATGGCGATTACGTATTTCAGATTTCTCGTTCTGTATATTTCTCGAAAAACAAGTAAATAGCTCATATAGTGCTAGGTTTATTTAATTATAACTTGAATAACGGCTATCCAATGCTTTTGTAACTAACCAATTCCACAGTTAAGTAATGACTTCAATGCTGTATGTAGTAGTTGATGAACCAATGCATTTATACTGAAACAGCTACGTCCCGCCAGCAACATATAAAATGTCGCGATATTATAGTGACATGTTGAGTCTTCCACCTGCATTTGAAACATGAATATTACAGTGGAAGTTTATTTCAAATTTTATAAATCACAAAAACACTACAGGCTTTTGGTGTGATTCTCATGATGCCACAAAACAAGTATAGTCAGCTACAAGTTCTGTTCTGGATCATCTGACAAATTAATTTACAACCCCCAAAAAACCTGCAAGGATTCTTGATAAAATTCACAAACACCTACATTGATTTCCATCAGAAGATCCGGGAATGCTGAAGTTCCGCCTTGCAAACTTGAACAGCAGAGTGCCTGAAGAGCACCACACCAATCCAAATATTTCTCTGCCTGAGCTGCTTGAGCACTAACATGCCCGCAAATATTTGCCAATTCAACTAACCGATCCTGAAATCTCTATTTATAAATCACGTCCAATACATTAACATTTTCAACTTTCCTTCTAGTTTTGTTCAGTCTAAAATCCGCTCGCCCTTAAAAACTTTTTAAATCAAATCATCATTCTGATTCATTTGAATAATCTGATTCGATACATGTAACAAATATTCCAAAGAGCATAATATTATTCAGTATCGAAAATATGTCATTAATTTCAATAATACATGAGTGAAAGACCCCTGTAACTCTTTCCGCTGCCGTTGTGCAACCAATGCCCGAACTCTCATTTCCGCCTACACTGCCGGCTCCGCGCACTGCAGCAAGCAGTGCGCTGACAACAAAACTGTATCGCGCATCATCAGTTCCATCGATAACCGCATGCAAGCGACGATATTCGTTAAAAGAGAATATTCGCCTAAACATAATTTCAAATTAACATAACTGATGAGCTGGTACACAAGGAAAAAAAACACCAAGAAAAAATGAAAAAAAAAAATTCGTATTATCTGCCTATCCTAGGGCAAAGAATAAACGTATTTACCCGCATCTTAAAGTCACTACTAGCCATTATCAATCCAATTTGTATCTATCCAAATAAATGAAATTCGGTTTTAGAAATAAACATTTCAAACAAACAAACTTCGGCTCCTCGAGTAATTCTTTGAATGTGCTAGCATTGTACGCATATCGCTGCCCTCCACATGGATTCCTATCACCAGTATTATGTGTCGGTTTCCAGGGTGGTATGACCCGTTTTAGCAGTTCGCGTTTTGCTTCGATTTTACGGCTACATAAGCCTACAATGGATCTAAACAGTAAAAACAGAAAGTTAGCCAACATGAACTTTTCCAAAACATAAACCATCACTGAATCAACAATTAATTACGAACCAGTTTCGATAAGTTGTTTCTTTGCATCAAGTACAAAAACAGCAATAGTACGCCCCCAACCAGTTAAACATGAATCTGATGATTTCAACTGACTTTCAATAACTCGATATAGCCTGCAAATACTTCAAAAGATGTTGCTGAACAACCACTCATTATATCAACAATTTAAATGTAGTTAGTACTTCAGAGATGAATCAATTCTATGCCAGGATAAGACTGCATAGAGGGTCTCCTGAAGACCAAGTGTTAAAAATCTTTTAATCTATCTGCTGGCTAAGCCAATGGTGGCCATTTGCACTGCCTGATCTTCATCAGTCAATATCTGGTAGCATTCTCTCACTTTTCAAATTTCTTGATCGAAAAATGAATAAAAGAACGAAAGGAAGACAGCAAGACCTACCCTTGTACAATATTGGGTGCATTTTGAGAATAGAGAAAATAATAATAATTATGAGAAATATATGCAGTTAGAACATAACCAAGCTGAGCTGATATATTACTTGGAACACAGTCAACACGACGCTCCAGAAGTACTCGTTCAATTAGCACTAGTAGGGGCAGTAACTGAAATGTAAGCAAATAAATATCGGATCATCGGCTAATTTCTTTAGTACTAAATCCTTTTTGGAAAAAGACTCTTCAATATTAACTGCATTTTTCTTCTTCAAAGACCAAAACCATGACTTACTATTATCGCTAGCTTAACCAACAGATGGTTTAAAAAACGCTGGCAAAGAACAAAAAAAAAAAAAGAAAGTGAAGACAAAAAGTAGGTAAAGACAAACGTTGGTAAAGATCATGAGTCTCTTTCCGGAGCTGTAATGAGCATGATTCAATTTCACGGTAGAAAGTATTGAATGACCAAAGAGCCCTGATAAACTGCTTGATAAAAACAAATGAGAAGAAAATGTGAAAAAGCTGACCTCTTCAGCGAGTTCCATAATGCCAGCAATATTCTGTGCAACCTCACACATTTCTAAGATAATATCAAGTCCTTCAGCAGTAGGTAGTACACAACTATGTCCATCAACAAAATCCTGCACCATTTGAATGAATGATTCACAGCACCAACCACAGAGAACGAGCTGATCATAGTATGTACATGATCTGTAAACAAGAGCTAGTTCTACAAAATCGATTGATAAGTAACGTCTGATGATTTGATCAAGGAAAAAAAGCTCTAAAAGAGGGTGAAGATGGAAAATTTACCAAGAAAACTTTACACTGATTAAGTTCGGGAATAGTGGAGAAGCTTTAAAAAAGGAAAAAAAGAGGAAAAAGCGTATCAGAAAAGTTTGACATAAATATACAAAAAAGCAATAAGTGCGACTTCTAAATAAGTCGTACGTCACCTAAATTTGGCCATGCTTTCTTGAAGCTGTTCACGTGTAGCTCGTTTTTTAAATCGAATTTCCAACGGTTTATTGAAGGAAAATTCGACGACAATTCGCTTCTGCCAAAGTTTTGCTAATTCACGTGCCAAGCGTCTCAACTCCAGTTTTACAGCATCACGTTCATTACCAATTCCGTACAACAGGAGAGATCTACAAATAAAAAAATGAGTGATTGCACTTTACTGTAAATCTGCGAAGACTCACTACTAATAATAAGTAGTCAATTTAAAAAAGATGATTATCTCAAAAATGCTGTTTGAGAACTGTTGAAAAAAAACTAACTCTATAAGTATATCAGCAAATCTTACCTTTGATTGCATTCGCTTCTGTATTCAGCAGACTGAGGAATGGGTAAATGTATCAACAATCTTTCATGAATTGATAAATCTTCCCATATATAAGGATGCTCGTCAGGTAATTCAGATGGCATTGTTACAAGTGAAGATGGTGTCGTTACAGCGCCCGCTAGAAGTGCTCCAGTTGTTTCAGTGGGTTGAGATCCAAATGTCGATGATAACATAGTCGTGTTGGATGACTGTTGATGCTGCTAAAATTTTTGCGACATTTTTTTTACAGAACAATCAGATTGAACTATCCAAATTGAAAAATTAAAACAAACTGAGAGCAATTAAAGGACATCCGGAAGCGCAGAAAAAAATTCACCTTTTGTTTATCTTCCTTCCGTTTCCTCACTTTTTGCATTAATGGCATATATTCCAACATTTCACCAGTCCGAATCAATTCCTTCACATAGAAATCATGGGAAAAAACACCAGCACGTTCCAACTCAATGAAGAGGAGCATCAGATTACCAAACTCTTGACAAAAACGGTTTTTGTCAGTACTTTCAGGATCGGGTCCTTCTGTCACAAGAAATTCCAGTAATATTTCTTGCAAAGTCAATGAACCTACAAAAAAATATCGGTTCCTGCAGAGAAATAAAAGACTTCAATTATACATTACATTTTCTAACACATATCATTGCATAAAGTGACCGCGCTGAAAAATATCGCAATATCGCTTTGAAAA